CACGTCCCGTGCATGTGACGAGTGCGCATCGACCGTACGTGCTGGAGGAACGAAAAAAGGCTCGATTTCATCAAATGTACACAAAATCATCAAAACTTCGTATGAGGACGGAATTCTCCACATCGCACACGAATTTATGACAAAAACCAAGTTGGCTTTGAGATACAGTAATAGAGAGATTTTGCACGAGAGTTTCCCTACAATTTTCCCTCCCCTCACACGTTTCTAGAAAGTTCGCAAAGACTTTTCCTGATTCTTTGTGCTTTTGCTATCGGGAAAATCCACAATTAAAGTGCAGTGTCAAGCAACAGATTCATGCGGCACTTCCGTTTGTACAGTATCTGTTCTTTTGGATCATATCGCGTCGTCACGCGCTATAGCCATACCTGCAGCACGTTTCGATTTTGCACATGGACTGCCGTTTCAAGTTTCGCTTTAGCAAGTCGCAAATCTTGGAGCTCGTTCAACTCCTCGAGATCCCCGACCCGTTCACTACCAAAACCCGTTACACAGCCTCAGCAATCGAGGCAGTATGCATCATGCTCAACCGTCTTGCGTAGCCACATCGACTCGGTACAATGGTGCAGACGTTTGGCCGTAGCCGTGAGGCTCTTTTGTCCATCGCTAAAGGCATGGTTCAGCATGTTTTCAACCGGTTTGGCCACCTGCTGGAATGGGATTTCGACCGTCTCAACGCCGACTGGATGAAGAGCTGTGGGAACGCAATTCATGCACAAGGAGCTCCCCTTAAAACATGCATTGGCTCATTGACGGGACAGTGCGTGGTATATGTCGACCTGGTAAAAGGGTTCAAAAAGCAGTCTACAATGGTCACAAGGTGAGCTTCATATTACCAACTTTCAATTACAAATAGAGTCTATTCTAGCGAAAGCATGCGTTGAAGTACCAAGCTGTGACACCGCCTGATGGAATTATTGTCCATCTTCATGGACCAAAGCCAGGCTCGCGTCATGATGCGTACCTGTTGGCACAAAGTGGTTTGGTTGAGAAACTGCAGAGAGTGCTAGTTGTTTCAGGTACTCGCTATGTGATCTACGGAGACCCAGCTTATGGGATCAATGATGTAATAGTATCAGGATTCAATGGTGCGAGGTTGAATGAGCACCAGGCGGAGTTTAAATCGCCGCATGAGTGCTTTGCGAGTAAGTGTGGAATAGGGCTTTGGCATTGTCCGCAACTTGTGGACTTTCGTCGACTACAAGGGTGATCAAAAGCTGTGGCTGCAGTTTCTTGGAATGCACCATAGTGTGGCTGTCGTATTGACAAACGTGCATACTTGCATGAAGCAAGGCAATCAAGTGTCCCACTACTTTGGGCTCAAACCACCTTCTGCCGCACAATACTTGCACTCGAAGCAACAATAACTTGAATTGAACTGTATTTCTAGAACACACTTTCCCAGTGGACTC